CCCGCGTGACGTCACTACGCACCCTCATTTGTGCGGCCCCCTTAATTACCTGCATATATAATGTGCGCCGCCCCCTTGCATAGTAATTACCTGCATATATAATGTGCGGCCCCCTTGCATAGTAATTACCTGCATATATAATGACGCGGCCCCCTTGCGGCCCCCTGCGGCCCCCTGAAAATAAGGGTCGAACGGTACCTATATTACTACTAGCCCCCTCTTGCTTTAGGTCTGCTCCACTTGCTAGCAATTCTCTAATGTCCTTAACCAAGAGGTTGGGGAAATTTTCACGCAGATGTCTTTCTGGTATATTGTTCAACCTGGGCTACTGTATTCCACAACACGTCAGTTTCTATTCCATTAAGCTCACATCGAACGTGACACTTTTCTCCTACTAGTTTCGCCCCAGTATTTCTTTGACTGGGCGTAAGGTGACTACTAAAAAAGTTTTCATGAGCAGAATCTCCTAATCCTCGCTCTGTTAAAATATAAAGGTTCTTAATAGCTTTATAAAGTGTTTTGTGTTCATCCCAGTGTTTCTTTTGGCAATTACGTGAACAATATCGCACGAGTTTACACACAGAAGAAATATTTTTAAAATTCACCAGACACTGTTTCTTTCGTTGAGCAGTTATTACAATGATGGGACTTTGTTGATTCTTTTGGTGGGGCTACTCCCTGGCCCTCGGGGCAGTCCTTTCCGGTTTCCCAGATTCCTATGTTTAAGCCTGTGGTTTGAACCACCACAAATGCAATGTGGTTTGAACCACCACAAATGAAACACTGATCACATGCATTGGGCATACCCTCATCTTGACATTTCTGACATCCACGTTTCGACTGACTAAGCGATACGTATACATACATACCACTTTCCTCTCTGCTTTCCTGTTTGTGTCCTTTAGATACTGTTTCTTGCAGTGTCTTCATATCGGTTTGCATGGTGGCCATGTCTGCTTTAAAAGCAGCTAACACTCTTCCGTCTTCCTTTTTCCCTTAATGTTACTTTTTTTCCATTTCCAGAGAAGATACACTTTCTTGTTTTGCTCTGCCCGATGCACCAAATTTATTGAGGCGCTCTGTTTCGGCCGACATTGGCATACTCATTGCCTCTATGAGATCTTCATCTGCAACACTTGGGTTCTTGAGTGTAGGTATCATCTTAGCACGGATAGTCTCGTCAACTAAACCGGTTTCTAAGGCGTGGAGGAAAAGTCCTTGAACAGAACTTTCGTCATAGGTGATGTTACTGCCCGACTCGTTTGATGCAAATAAAATTTTCTGTCGAACAGTTAGTGCTCTGATTAGAAAAGTTTGATGGTCTTCTTTTGGAAGTTGTGTGATGTTAGCAAGTGTTTGGTACAGTTCTGTAGCGCTTTTTTCATGGTAATGGTATTGGAAATTCTTGTTTGAAGAAAGTTTTCACAACAAATCACTAGTTTTAAAGGTTTAAAGGTGGCGCAATCGCGGAACCCAATGATGTTCTCGTACTTTCGCCATTGTCATTCCAACGCCGCCGTGGAGGGTTGAAATGTGTGCGTGGTGGACTAAAGACGTGGTGAATGGATGATGGTCAGGTAGGTAAATTGGATATTCCCCGACTATTCGACCGCGACACTCTAAGATCCCTCGGTTATTGGGTTGAAAGTTTAAGTGTAGTTGATCAGCTTCAAATCGTACGTCTTGTTGTGCTTGGAGCTGAGCACGCTTTATCCACCACAATTTCACTCGTTCAATTTCTAGCGCATCGATCGGATGGCTCTTTCTCTCCTTGGGCTTCGTTCTGCAGTTATCAAGGAAGCGCTGTATCCAGGCTCCAATACGTAGGACTTTAATCAAGCTGAATTTGTCGAGCAACTGGTCGAACTCATCTTTCTCA